AATATATTTATATATTAAATTGAAATATGTTGCGGAGTGATCTTTTTTAATTATTTTGTATCTCACTACCCACATATACCCACATATTTTACGTATCAGAATTTTTCTCGATCATGCATAACTTTGTTTTTATCAGATTTTAACAGATTGATATAAAGATGGAAGGTTAAAAAAAAAAATATTATTTAAATTTATCGTGTACATATAAACATCGTGTATATATATAATTTTCTGATTTCTTTTATAAAATATATGCACAAATATTTCTAACAATTGTTATACTATACATATACGATGGTGTGTAATACCTATAGTAATTCCTGCAAATTTCTTTTCTTTCTCATATTTCAAACGTATTTGATGTTGTTCGCAAACTTTCGATGACCGGGTCTCTCGAGCGAGAGTTAAAGAACATTCTGTACTCGCGGACTCCCAAGGTGAGTTTCCACTCGTGAAATCTTCTTTGCTCTCTTCGAGGAATTTATCCGTGAGTGGTCGGTGAACGTCAAAGTGTCTCTCGAGTGTTTACGATTCAGCTTGGCCGCAGAATCAAACGGAGTAATCGTAAATCCTGCAGAGTGCCTGTCCTGATTCTCTAGCGGAGCCAATTGGCGAGAACCGTCTCTTCTCGTCGTTCACGTGGTTCGTTATCGTCGAGTTGAAATTCGTGCCGTCGTGGAATCGCCGTTCTCGCTTCTCGTTGTTCATTAAAGAGCGTAATGCGACCAGCTGATTTGGACGGTCGATGTATTTTCTTTGAAATCCCTCAAAGGGACTATGTCTCCGTATTAGCAGGTGGGTCAATTAACGAGTCAGAGGGGGTCTTATTGACCGACTGTTCCCTCCAAGTTTCCAATGACAATGGTGAAACAAAATGTAACTACGAATTTCTAATTGCTATAACGGGATTGCTATGCCGGGACGTTCCACGTTGCGGATGAATGTACGCGCAAGTAGCTTAAATGATTCCGTTCTCCTAAAATGTGCTTTCTCTCACTAGTAAGAATTCCCTGCTCTTTATCGACGAGGGAACCGCTGTTGGAGACAAAAGAAATATCGTATTTCATAGATAGTTGGCTCGGGAATTCTAAATAAGGATATCTGTTCCTGATTTATTAATTAATTTAAAAATTCATGCGTTAAAATAGTTAGCCCGAGAACTTTTAACTTTATTTCATCGAACTTAATTATAATGCAGACGATTTTGATTTCCAATATTGGAACAATCATAAGTAAGACTACTAATAACTTTGCGTATAAACGGGCCAATGTTTTCGCGTTGAACTTTAGCAATTAATCGAGCGCGGCGAAAGAACGGGTTGGAAGTAGATGGCTAAAAGCAGCCGCGACCGTTTCGCCCCTCCGAACTCTGTTGGTCCACCCATTTCTCACTCCGTCGACCCTTCCCATCGACTTCCCTTTCCCTTCCAGTATTTCATCTCACTTCCTCGTTACTTTCGTTCATCTACTATGTGCGTTTTCGCACGTTAAATTACGTTCGCATCATTCCAACGAAATTCAACATGACATAAAAAAATTGCAATTGCAAAAATTAAAGATCTGAGATTAATTTTTTTAAATGATATTAATTTTTATTTGGAGAAAATGCAGAGAATAGTATCCTTTATATTCTCTCCGTACGTTATACGAGTTTGAGTGAAGACGATCGAATTCCAGTTTTTTATGCCAGTTTTCGCGACGTTTCTCTTTCAAATGAAAAGCGATTTTTAGACGCGCGGATTTAGAAAAGTCGTCCCGTCGTCGTTGGAACGGAGGTGGTTCGTCGCACTTTTCGCGGACCATATATGCGAGAACCTGAGTCAGCAACTGACTCCGAGGATATTTAAATTTATTTGAGGATAGCGTCGCGCGCAAACGCGGCATAGTCGAGAAAAATAACGGGAAAACGAATGAAACCGCGTTGTGACGCGTGAGAGGAAGATGTGTTTTTTCACTCCTTGACGAAGCATAACCGTCGTCATCTTTCTTATACGCTGGCGCATCTAATTTAATTGACTCGTCCGACATGATTCAATTTCCACGAAACGATCTGAGTCACGATCGTGGATCTCACGATGTGCTCGTACTATGTCGTTTTCCATAATACCCGGACGGAGAGACCTGTTAGTTTGCACAAACAGTATACAGAGTCAGACGATCAATATTTGGAAGCTCGATGCCAAAAGGTATTACAGGTCCCTCAATTGGTGATTACTATCTAATGGACTTGGTTTATTGACTCCTTCAGAATTACAATTGAATAATTAATAATCACGTTCCTTTCTTTCTTTTCGCATCCGGAATAATGAAAGTAACTTTTGTCAGATTTCCACAAAAGATGCGCGATAGAAGTACTAAGGTCCGAAAAAAATAATTATCAGAAAATTACTTTTCTGTTCAAAAAAACTTTATGAAATAAACATTCAGTAAAGAACGAGAAATGACTTCGGTCTAATTGCTATCTCGATTGGTTTATTAAGGCATTATGTCGTCGTAGCTCCGCGAGCAATTTACCAAACTTTAATCGACAAATTCGCGTGGAATGGAATCTGATCGATTATTATGCCGTAATGATCGGGGTTTGATGGTAGTAACGATGTTTGCAGAGAGAACGTACTTATTTGCGTCTATTACAGTTCACGGGCGATATTTCCAGTGCACGCGTGCGCGCGCGCGCGCGCGATCCGTTCTTGCAATAAGATTTATCGGGCCGTAGGCAGCGCTGTGGATGTGTATCTCGCGCGGTCTGGTTTTGGTTAATAACACAGCAGGTCGGGACGGAGGCAGATACAAATTGCGAACGTGAAGCCGACGTGGCGAGAGAGAGAGAGAGTGAGCGAGCGAACTCGCGCGAACAATGGACGTCGACGATATGCCCGAGCCGGTGCAGACGAGATTCTGTGTTGTGTGTGTGTGTCGGGCGCTCTGGAAAAATGTAAACGGAACGCGTTTGTTTGGTTTGGGGGAGTTCAAATACATGGTAACAGACTGACGCTGACAAGTTTGCAATCGATAAGCCTATAAATTCGCCGTCTTCTCGTCCGAGCGCGAGATAAATCGATGCGCTGCCGCCGTCACGTTTCAGTCTTTCCACTAATCGTCCCCCTGCTTCGTGCGAAATTATTTCCACCGCTCGCTTGGTGTCAATCGACCGAGGCTTTATTGTTTCGAAAGTGTTTTTTCGACGCGTGAAATGTCTATTTTTCAAGCTTTTCCAATCATTACACATTATCATTTTTTATTTTATTACTGAATAAAAAGAGCAAATACTTCATATATATAAAGGAAAAATGATACTTTTAATTTTAGCTGAAAAATTTAATTATCTAAGAATATTCCTTGATCGATTATTATTAGTTTACCTTGCTCGTGTTCCTTCGCGGAAGAGGCGTGGGATCTAAGGATGAATTGATGCGAGCTTAATTAAGATAATAGCCGCGCGACTCATCGTCTAATTAATACACGGAGCTCTCTTCACAAGCGTCGAATCGCTTCTTATCGTTGATAAGGATGTCGGTTGACAAAAAAAAGGACAGGCGCGGGCGCGGGATGCTTATCGCCGGGCGCGCGGCTATTAAGTCGTTTCGCGTCGGCGCGCGCGGAAGAGGAGCACATCTCCCCGCGAAGAAAAGCTGTAACGGGGATTACGAGCTCGGCGTACCGGGGGTACCGCTCTCGGCCGTCTTAATAGCTTCATTCGATCGCGAAGGGCCCGTGGGGTAATTGATGGCCCTTCATTGTGTCCCGCCGCGAGAGCAGCGTCTCGGCAGGCACGGCAATAAGGACCGATGTCCTTCTCACTCCGAGGTGGGGGATGGGAAATTACCCTTTCGTGCGTTATTAATGGTTTCGCAAGCGCCATCCTGGCAATAAGCAGCCGGCAACAAGCCGAATTCCCGGCACGTACACACGTCCCGGCTTTAGCTGTATATTATGTTTCTTCGCCACGCGCCGCACGCTGCGCGAGACTCGGCAACGCCTTCGACAAACGCTCGTATAACAATTAAATGCGACGCCGTCTCGACAACGTTTCTGGCAGCGGCGCCTGAGAACATTGTTTTATCCTCCCGCTTCCGAATCTTGATACTGCCGTCTTCATAAATAAGGGGCCATTTGATTTTAATTTTTTACCTTTCAAATGCCTTACATTAGGCATGAAACGTATTTTTTTACATAAGTAGAATTATTTTTTTTTATCGTAAAACTGGGTTATAAATATTGTGATACTAGGTAAGGAAACTGGCAAATAAGAGCCGAGGTATGGTTATTAGTGCGCAAACTTTTCCTTGTTTAATATTATTATAAATAACGAAAATATTCTAAATAATATTCTAAATATTCTAAATAATTATAAATATTTCATTTAAATGCAATATGTAGCGATTATTTGCAATAGAAGCGAGAGAATTAAGATGCGTGTACGTCTCTTGTGACAAAGAAATATTCTGTGCGTTCATCCGTGTGTTCTCTCGTAAAGATCGACGCGATTTTCGCTCATAACAGGTATTATCACGGTTTTCTACATCGATCATTCGTCTTTCCCAACAGACGTTGTGCCTCGTCGTTACCCTTTTGGAAGCAGACAAAGATAAAGCGCCTCGACACATAAATAATTTATCACGGAAGCGGTTTCACGAGACGTGACGCAACGCGGCGACGTTGACGATGCGCGTTGCATGAAATATGAAATCCAATATAAACTTTCGAGCGATGTAAACCTTGAGCATCGCCATCTGTCCGCTATTCGCATCGCGTCTACAACGATTTCCCGCGCCAAATATAGCGCAATCCTTTGACCCTCTAAACCATTTTCCACTCTCTCCTTTACAACATTAAATAGTCGATTAAAATTCATTAATCGGAACTCCGGAAATCTCGAGTGAGGTACTTTAATCTTGTTTAGGGAGACAAATACATTATATTTGGCGCACGATTGAATAAATTACGAGGCATATCGCAACTTGACGAGCGTAAAACTCATTTCGCTGTTTTTCTTTCAGAATGCAGAGACAAAGTCGGCGTAGCTCGGAGGTGGAGGTTGCGCTTATGCGCCCTGTAAGCACAGCTGGCTAATAGCCTCGGAGCCCGTCCCCGACACCCTGCAGCCACACCAGGTAAGGATCTCGTGTACTTGTACACAGTAGGCTCTAAAGCCCGCCGTTTGCCTCTCGTGTTTTATTGCGCAAAATCAAGATTCTCGCCGCCGTATTCTCGCGAGCGTGAAAACGCCCGTGCTGCGCACGCCTTATTTGCACGCAAAGCTACAATTAACTGTTAATTTTTTCGTCTGAAAGGAATTAAGAAACGTTCCTCGAAGTGAAGTGACCATGACGAAAAGATTATTGGCGTTGGATGTTCGTTATAATATATGAAATATATATTTGCCATTAATCTCTCGCGTTTGTAAGACACTTAGATCGTAAAATTGATCGTTAAATCGATGATTCATACTTCAACTTCTGGATTTATCGGAGAATATTTTAAGAACTGTCCAGAGACTATTCTCTTAAAAAATATTTCTTTTTATTAGATCTTGGGGCATTTTTCTTATCTGTGCAATGTATCGGATCACCTATCTAGATCCGATACAATTTCTTAATTTTTTTCAAGATTATTAACTTGAATAAGAAGTAACATAATTATTGTCTCTTGCTGTATTATCATAAAAGAAATTGCAAAAGTGCCGTTATCACACAATAATAGAGAAAGAATACAAATAGATTCTCTTTCTTTCGTTTATATTAGAATATCGTTTATATATATAGTTAACAATGAATATATCTTCCTCTGGGAGCTTTTATAATTTCATTGTACTCTGCGTCATTTGTGGATGTGCAATGAAAAGAAAAAAAAACGCTTTCTAGTTACCGAATTAATCATCCAAAATATTAAAAAATTGAAGCACTATGAAAATAGTTTTCTTTAATACTAGATATCTCCGTTTTTAACATTGCGAGATTCGACTTATCAGATTATTTATCATCTACGCGCGTATTAAAAATTACTCTCTTCTTGGGGAATATTATTTTAAAAGCAACTTTCTGTTTACTTTTATTTTCAATTTTCTGTATGAAATATACAAATTTCGTGTTTAAAAGCGCGCAATGTTTACGATATATTCGCTATTTTAATTTGAAGCGACTCGTGCTTGCGATGCTTACAATTGCATTATACGTGTACACAGGTATATCGTGCGAGAGAAACCGCGAATCGCGAAGTGATAATAAAAAATAAATAAGGGAAGGAGAAAAAAGGGGAAACACGAACGGAGGGAAATGGGGTATTCTTTCGGCGAGCGCAACCAACAACCACGTATATCGCGAAACTATGCGGGCGCGCGCGTAGATCGCGCACGTAAATTGCATAATGCAAATCAGCGTCGTTCCGGCCGAAAGCTCCGCGGGGGAAAAAGGATCCATCAAAATTCATGGTCGCTCGCTATATATGCCGGTGGATAAAACGGAGCTTTCTCTCGCGTAAGCGCAACGACCGTTTCTTGCAACTACATTTTTCGGCGAGCTGCAACCTGAATCGCCGCGTCGGGAATTGTCGGCGTTGAATGGTGGACGGAGACGCAACTCTGTGTATTTTCTCCGGGGAACGGGCGACAAAGTTTTATCCGCCGTCGTCGTGTCGACGTATACACGCGTCCAGAGACGTCATTTTTCTCGATGCGCATTCTCCGCTTTCCTCCTCCGCGCATTTTTTTCCTCCGTTTCGTGGGGAAGAGCAGCAGGCGAGATGCATTTATTCATGTTTCATCGTTTCTTCTTCATCGCATCTCGAGGCGCGTCACGATAACCAGAAATGCTTCGCTTCTACCTCATTCGCTCGTGAACGAGTATTTATATTCTCGGATACGTTAAATAAATATCACGTTCCGCGCTTATCCGCGAATAGATGGATCGATCCATGAATTCGCACCACATGCGCTCCGAAATCATGAGAGTCATAATCCGCTGCAATTCGTAAGTTAGAGTAATTTATCTGGCGTAATTTATTTCATTTTTATAACACGGTCGGTAATCTTGTATGCCAGTTGCTCGGCAAATTATGTATCTTATTTAGGACACATAAACAGGCTTTTATTTTTGTATATCGCATATAAAGGACGGTGTGTAAATGTGTATTCTTCGACTAATAACGATTCGCTATCGATAAGCCGTTTAATTGAAATTTCCTCGATTCGGAGGATTAAATTCCTTCCTGGAATTAAATTAAATTTTCGAAAATTGGCTCGTTCGCGAGAGATTCGCCAGACGAGTGAGTCTTCTGCATTTCGTTGAAATTTCTCTGCGAACACTTGTCGTCATTGCTTCGCAAGTTTACCACTATTAGACAATTATCCTTGGCGCCGGATAAGATTTCGCCCGATACTTCCGGAATTCTACCAATAAAAGACATTGTGCGCGACGGGTGGTACCTTCTTCAGTTTTCTCGATGCGATCGACCGCGCGAAATTGCTCGGGAAAACTCCGGTAATAAGTCGTCGGGACTGCAGATCGACGGATTCTTTTCTATTGCGCCCACGTCTCGAACGGACGCACGTGTTCGAATGTTGGATAAATCTTTCTCCGGAAATCAAAGCACATTTAGGATAAGAGCGAGAGATGTCTTCGGCGATAATACGCTCTATCGCCGATAATATTTCGCGATTATCATACCAATTAATATTATGTATATAGATAACAGTACAAATATTTTGTGAAATTTTTTTCTATTATCGATTATGTCCGAAGCTATACGTGCGTCGAATTTTATAAAACTAATCGTATACTGCCGTTTTCGATCATCGTGCGCGAACGGGGGGGAACGTATCCAATTTCGCCAGAAATCCCTGATAAACACGTTCTCCGTGCGTGTGAGTTGGCAGTATCGAGTATCGAGCGACCTTAGAATTTCGCGTAGAAGCCGCGTTTCGAGCACGAGGAAGACCGATGCGACCAAACGAATGAAGGAGACAATAGAGTCGGAGCTGTGTAAACGATTCTACTTTACATGAATATTCAATATCGAGAGCCGTGATTTCGCAAGCCGCCTACTCTTTATCGAAACTTTCTCGTCGCTCGACACCGTCATTGATAACCGTTCGTGAAAGGAATTTTTTTTCTCACACTTTTATCGAGAAAACCGATATGTTTATATCTCTCTCTTCCCCGCTTTCTTATTTATTTTCTTTTATTTATTATTCTTGTTGTTTGTTTTATTATCAAGTACATATTAATTCCAAGCGTAAAATTAATAATCTTTTCTTTTATTTCTCCATTGTTAAGAAAATTGCGTTATATGCATCATATATTACGATGAAAGAATTATTTTTTTGTTATTCTATTATATCGAAAATATTAATATATTTATTATTTATTTATGTATTATTTACTTTTAGAGTTTGTTGTCTGTTTCATCGCGAAATATATTAATTCCGACATAAAATATTGAAAATTTGTCTCTTCTTTTATTATAATAAAATTTCTTTATGTATATAATTAATCGACTCGCTAACAAATTGCCACACGACAGGATTTCAAAAGTTGCACAGGCCTAACTAGATCGTGAATTGCGATCTGTTGAGTTGTTACAGTTTGTAACGCTTAATTATATACGATCTTTTCTCTATTTCTTTTTCCATATCTCTTTATCTCAATTTTTCAAAAAGTACCGTTTTTTTTATGTCTGTGGATGTATGCCGATTAAAAATTTGCCCCACTAAATCAAGCGATGATAAAATGCCGTGTCAGAATCGCTCTTTTAAATTGCTTTCTACGTACTCGCGTAATGCATTTACTTGCTGAACATGGTGGCACAGCTAAAATTTACGAGCTCTTACGTAAAACTCTATTTTTCGATTCCTCGTTTATATATGTACAAACAAAATTCTTCAAAATTAAATATGCACGTCGAAGTAAGCGAATTCGCAATTAACGTAATTAAGTTGACGATATTGTTCTATTATATACATGTATTTGTAATAATAACGATAATGGAATATGTGAAAAGATTCTGACAAATAAATTTGTTTTTCCGATATAGTTTTGCCTCAGATACGTCTCAGACAAGGACGGAAAGAGTTTGGAGATTTGTTACATTTTTCAGGCCTCCGAAAAAACCTCGCTCTCTCTCTCTCTCTCTCTCTCTCTCTCGTTATGAGATTGTCTCTCTGTAGATTACGCAAAACTCGCGACGGAATAATTCTCCGGAATTTTCAATTGTGTCCATACGCAGGGTGGGAGGGGAACGGCGGAAGGACATGTCAGTTGCAGCGATCGTCGGAGCTTTTGGTGCGCACGCTTGCGGAGATTGTGCAATGGAAATTCGGTCCTGGTGTCGATGGCCTGCAGCGCGCCAGCTAAACCGGAGTTTATCTACACGCACGTTCGCGCTCGCGCCCGCTGGCCGTATTAGCAACAATCGACGATAAACCGCACCGATAAACGCGCCCGATGTGCGGCGTGTGATCGACACGGCGAAACGAAACGCACTCTCGATGAAACGCAATATGAGATGAGAGAGTTTTTTTCTGTCCCTCAAACCCTTTTTATAGCGCACGCGTGATTACCTTCTATGCTTTGACGAACGAAATGCGCGTTTCTAACAATAAGAGGATTGTTCAATCCTTTTCTTCATAGAAGATTAGTTTCATGAACATTAATTGAAGTTAATTTCCCTCCCCCTCTCAGATAAATGCAAGCTATTTTTTCATTCTTTGCTAGAAAGATAAAGTTAAAAAAAGAGCAATAGAGAAATTTCAGTCTTTTCAGATAATTTTAGAAATGTTTACGAATGCACGATTCAATCTTGTAAGAATATATTATTATATTTGCAATGAAGAATTAATTACTGGTCGGTCGGCAATAATACGGTAACGAATCGATAAGCGGGACCGATAACTCTCGGCGCGGACACAGGTGGTTCACATCGTTGCTAGACGCGGCCGCGGACTGGATGTTGTATCGATGATGCATTTGCACGAATACGGGTCGAATCGTACGTGTTCGTGGACGGGCCGTAATTATTTGCGTCACCAGAACCGTAAATCACCATCACTCGCCGGCGACGTGTGATCGGATTAAAAGCGCTAAATTCGCGGGCGGGGTCCGGTCATGAATTTTTTCTC